TGCCCGGCTTGCCTGGCACCCTACCCACCACCTTCCTGGTGGCACCTCTGTGGCGACCCCCGTGGGTGGCGATGCCAACAGTCAGGTGGGGCGATGCTGTCTCGCCGTCACCTGGCCCCCTGCCCACCCTGGTTCTAGGAGACCCCCAGAGTAGTGGGGTGCATGGGAGCACCCCCCTTCTCAGGGTGTCCCCATCACCTTGCAGCATTCTGTGGCTGAGAAAGTGAGGACAATCCGCAAGTACCGCAGCCGGCCCCTCTGTGAGTCCCCGGGCTCTGGATGGGGTGGGGCTTGGGTCCAGGGGGAGGGGCAGCCTGACACTGGTCCCACCGCCTCTCCCCTGTCCACCCCAGGCCTGGACATGGAGGCCTCGCCTCACCATTTGCAGACCAAGGCCTACGTGAGACAGTTCCAGGTCATCGATAACCAGAACCTCCTCTTTGAGCTGTCCTACAAGCTGGAGGCCAACAGCCAGTGAGGGGCAGGCCCCTGCCCTGGGGCCCTCAGCACCTGGCACTCAAGCACTTTGTACCATGACCCTGCCAACTTATGTGGGGAATTTCCCACGAGCAGCTCCCACCCCGCGGAGAAGAGTGGGATGGACTTCCGGGGACTCATCATCATCCTACTGGAGCCCTCTCCCCCATGCCCCTTCAGCCAAGCCCCAGGAGGCAAAGGGCTCATTCCTTTGTCCTCTCCAGGCCATGTTCAGAGAGGGTTTCCAGCTCCTCTCCCAGGGAGGAAGGAGTGGGCTTCCCTCTCCCAAAGCCAATTCCCGTTCTCTCACCTGCCTGTCTCCCCCACTGGCCCTGATCAGGGCTGGGTCCCCGGATGTTGTGCCCGCCGAACATTGCCGTGTGTGTGTGTGTGTGTGTGTGTGTGTGTGTGTGTGTGTGTGTTTGTAAGGAGGGGTCCCTTCTGTTTGGTGCTACCCTTGTCTGCACTGGCCCCCCATCTCCTCCCGCGGCCCTTCCCGCCCAGGCCCTGAGGGTCCCGCACCCCCGGGAGAGGGTAGCTCAGGGAACACAGGCCCCGCTGCCTGTAGGACCCTCTCTCTGCTCTGCAGTTGGCGGGGTGTCTGCTCCCCACTTCTCTGCTCTCTGAGCCTCCCTGCTGAGGGGCGCGTCATCACCCCGAGTCTGACAGGGCAGACAACAGCTCTCTGCTCCTCTCCCTGTTTGGCTCCCCTTCCTCCTCTCCGCAGTGCTGGGGGGACAGGCAGCCCCCCATAAGTAGGGGAGCAGGGCAGACTGTGAAGGTGAAATTGGACTCTGAAGAGGCCTGAGGACCTCTCTGTCTCCCTGGGCCCCCGATGGAGGGGTGCAGGGGCCTGGCAGCTACCGGGTGAAGCTTCCGGGTGTGGCCCCCACTTCCTGGCACCCCTCTTTCCCTTTTGAAGAAGTGGTGGCAGCCCATGCAGCTCCCACGCCCGCTCTGGGGTGTTATATATTTTTTACCCAAAGCTCTGGAATTGTAAATTTATTTTTTAAAGCTCAGAAGAGGGAAAGAGCCTTGTATCATATGTAAACACTGTATCATAGGTCACGTGTACAGTCCCTTTTATACGCGTCCCGCCCTGTCCCCTCCACAATGGCCATGGGTGCAGAGGAGTCCACAGACTGCCGGTCCCTTCCTACCCCCAGGCCGTCAGCCCCCCTGAACCCGGCCCTGCGCCTCCGCCCCCCGCAGAGCAAGCCGCGTGAAGCTCGCGTGTTCTGCACACCTGCCTGTCCCGCAGAAGCCCTGGGCTGGAGAAAAAGCCGATAAAGTCTAAGAATCGCCTGCCGGCTGAGTCTGCTCTGTGTCCCTGGGGCTGGGGGGCGGGGCAGAGGGAGGGGACAGGGAGACTGGAGGTTCAGAGAGGCCAAGAGCTCAACCTTGCGCCTCAAAGTGAGCCAGAGTTCCCGAACCCGCAGCTCAGACTCTGCAGACCCGGGGTCCCCGAGCCCCTGGCTGTGGACACAGAAACCGCCCTTCAGGGTGGGCGGAGGAACGGAGCAGTGCTCTTGCCGCCCACTAGGTGTCGCCACGAAGTATCTACGGGGCGCCCAGCGGCCGGGCGGAGGGGTGGACTGCAGCTCCCTGAGGATCTCGGTCCCTCTGTGGGCCTGTTCCAGGGTTAACTCGCATATGACCAGAAGAGTGTGTTTCTCAGTCTCTCCCACTCTACTAGCCTGTCCTAGTTAGCGTCCAAATCCTCTCAAATCACTAAGGTCTCATCAAGAGATCCTCCTGCCTCTGTTCCCTTAGTAATGAGACTATTGTAATTTTATTTGTCGATCAATTGATTTTATGTGTGTATATAACACATATATAGCTTATTTATTTTTGAGACAGGACTCACCATGTAGTCCACGCTGGTCTTGAACTCATTGTGTAGCTCAGGTTGTCCTTGAACTCCACAGTGAATCCTCCTGCCTCATCTTCCCAAGTGCTGGGATTACACCCCACAGCTTTTTTGCTTTGTTTTTGGTACCGGTGATCAGATCAAACTCAGGACCTTCTGTTTGCAAACAGAGTTCAAGTTCAAAGCCACCCTTGGGCTATTTAGCAAGACCCTACTTTTAAAAAAGAGAAATAGGAAGAAAATATTCAAATGAGAAGGGGATTAAGGGAGTGGGAAGGGAAAGAAAGGAAAATATATATATATATTTTTTTTTTCAAGGTACTGGGGATTGAACCCAGGGCTTTGCGCTTGTCAGGCAGGTGTGGAGCCTTTGCATTAAATCCCCAGCCCTAGATATTTTATGTACAGGTTCAAATTCCCTATGATGAATCTGACCTTTATGTATATCAAGAGTGTACCAACAAAATCAATTTTTTAAAAAAAACCCAAAGAAAAAAGTTTAAAAGCCAACACAATGAGCGTGACACCCTCGGACCCCTCCCTGGTCACACCCTCCTCCTGTCTCCCGAGAGGGCCCCTCTCCCACGTTTCTGGACACACTGCTCACATAGTGGGGACATGTCAGTGTTTCCCAGTTCGGAGGTTCTCATCCTAGTTTTTTTTTTTTTTTTCTCGGTACTGGGGACCGAACTGGGGCCCTTGTGCTTGCGAAACTGGTGGAGGAACCACCGAGCCAAATCCCCAGCTTTATTTTTTATCCATGCAACTGTTTTATACAAGTTTAATAGAATACTATATCTATCTATACAGTTCTATGTAGTAGTTCAGGTTGGCCTTGAATTCACTGTACTCTTCCCGCCTCAGTCTCTGAGAACTGGGATTCTGGGCATGCGTCACCATGCAAGGCTTCTGTGAACAACTTGAAGGAAGTGTCTAGAATAGGCAGATCCACGGTGACATAAATGGATTAATGATTACCAGGGCCTGGGAGGATGGCAGAGAGGACTGCTAAGGAATAGGGCTTGAAAAATATTCTTTATTTCTTGAAGTGGTGATAGTTACACATTTTGAATGTACTGAAACCCATCTGGGTATTTTATTTTCTCAGTTTTTTGAGAAAGGGTCTTGCTATGTAGCCCAGGCTGTCCTTGAACTTGTGATCCTTCTACCTCAGTCACCCACGTAGCTGGAATTACTGGTCTGCACTACTGCACTTCGCTCAACCTTGAATTTTTTTTTTTTTTCAGTACTGGGTAGAACCCAGTGGTGCTGTACCACTGAACTACATTCCTAGTCCTTTTTTAAAAATTTTATTTTTAAATTCCGAGACAGTCTAGGTAGGTTGCTAAATTGCCCAGGCTGGACTCAAACTTGTGATCCCCCTGCCTCAGCCTCCTGAGTGCTGGGATTACAGATGTGCACCACCATACCTAGCTATCCTTACTATTTTTTTTAATAGCAGTGCATCAAATCATTTTAAACGTTTCAAACTATTTTATCCTGGGATTACAGGCATGCACCACCACACCCGGTCCTCTCATACCTTGGCTGACTCCCCGTATCTCTTCCCGGAGCACTAGTCACCTGCTGATGTGTCCCTCAGGTAGCTGTTGACACGCCAGTCTGCCCACCAAGACGACAAGTCCCCTGAGGGCAGAGGCCCGCCTTAGTCACCCACGCCTGGCCCACACCAGGGTCACATTGTGACATCTTCTTGATTGGTGGGTGGAACAGGAGGAAAACAAAAAGGATAATGATGTGTGGTTTTATCGCGTGCCTCGCCATTCGCGGCTTCAGCCTAAGAACCCTATGACCCAGAAGGGAGAGGACCTGTAGTTCTCCCGTACAGACAGTGACCGGGGCCCTGTCCAATCCTGTCCCCTTCCTCTGAGCTCAGTGCCGGGACCGGAGCCCACCCAGAGCATTAGGAGGAGAGAAATCCACGCAGCTGCCCACAGTGGTAAAGTGTTTCAATGTGCAGACTGGGGACAGACCCTGCGCTGCTGCGAAGCTGGCAGCGGGGCCAGGGCGGGTACAGGAGTCCTGGTCCTGGCCCAGGCACCAACCCTCACTCCAGGAAGCTGGGGAACCTCAGCTCACTAAAGAAGAGAAGGATGTTCGGTCGGGTGACTAAGAGGACCTAAAGGAGGACTGTTATCAGGGCCCGGCCCCTCCGTTGCTAGGACAATCACAGCTTGCCTGCTGGGGCCTTGAAGGTTTGGCTGAGGCGTGATTCTTACCTGGAGATCTGGGAGGGAAACTTAAGGGGTAGGGTGTGTGTGCGTGCGGTGGGGGTAAAGACAAAAAAAAGAAGTAAATTCAAGAAACTGGTGTTACTCCACCCTGGCAACATGTTAGAATCACCTGAGCAATTTAAAAAAGTCGCAATGCCTAGGCTGCACTGGCCCCATTCAATCAGAATCTCTGGAGGATGGAACTCTGGTATCACTGGTCATTTAAAGATCCCCCAGGTGGTTCCAACTGCAGCCAAAGACCCAAACGCCACTTCCAGGGGCAAATAGGCTGCGACCTTCCAAAGATGGCGGCGGATCTGGCCGCTTCCGCCTTTACGTGCACCGCCAGAGGGCGGGCTCCCCGCACGCGTGCGGCTTCCGTCTTTTCGCTCCCTGTTCCCTCCTCCGGTTTCCCCCGCCTCCATTTTGTTCGCGGACGCTGGGGACGGTGGAAGCAGGTCCATTTCCGGGTTAGCAAAAGGGGAGGCGGCGGCGGTGAGAAAGAGAGCTCGGCCGGGGGCTAACGGGAGAAGACGAGAGCAGAGCAGAGGTGGCGGAGGACTCGCTCCCGGAGCAGCTGTGACCAGGTCGGGAGGAAGCCGGGGCGGCTGGGGTCCGGCGCTGAGGGTGACCTGCCGCGCTGAGTGGGAGGGAGAGCGGGAAGGGGGCTGGGGGCGGGACTT